CCCTCAGGGGACAGTTGTCAGTTCTTGTCACATTGTCAATTCATGATGTTTCTTCAATTTGGGCATTAATGACAGTTACATTAATAGTCTCTCTCTCCCCCCTTCCTCTTTCCTCTCTTCCTCTTCCCCTCTCTGAGAAACATCTATGCTGACATTTGTGAATATTCATGAGCTCTTTCATAGTTCCTATAGGTTTCTTATCTTCCCTTTAAGAGTACCATCATTAGAATATTCTAATCCAACAGTCCACTGGGATTTTATATTCAAATATAAGCTGAGTTAAAGATCTAAGTAACATGATCATTGCACTTAGCCCCGTACTCTAAAGATGACTCGGAGACATTGTCCTCTCTGTGCTAAGGGAGCCTAGAGAACAGCCATTGATTTAGGTTTGTCTTGTTAATAGCTCCAGTAGCAGGCCACTGTCATGTGCTCCGCCCCCTCCTCACTCACCTTGTGCTCCTAAATTCTTCCATATAATTTCATGTTTATTCCCTGGTCTTTTCCTCCACTCTCCCAGTCTGTATGTTTATGCTTTTTTCACTCTTTCCCATAGAAATTTATTATTCAATAGAGGCAGGCTGATCGACTCTGCCCGTCTGTAACCCCCACATCAGCTCACAACTGTCTCTAATTTCTACCATTTGAGGTTCCTATGAATAGGATCATTTCTTCTGCGGTTTCTGCCTCTGGGGAGAGTAACATCTGAGCAGCCATTAACACACCAGGTGGATTACATTTTCAAATTAGCTACACAGAGCCAAATTTAAGGAAACAACAGATAGAGGTGTGTCCTGATGAGAAACTGGGGGGAGGGTTTCTCTGGAGAGAAATGCCCAAAACATGCATACCTAAGGCTGTCGGGGCCTGTGAGAGGAGGGCCTGTGGAAGCAACCCCACACAGGCTCTATCAGTGCCTCATAATCCTCTGGTTCATTAATGTGGCCAACTATTATTTGCCCCCAAATGTACATCTGTGGCTTTAAGTTCCAGCACATTTCCTGGAGTTTCCAAGCATGCCATTGGGAATTCTAGGGAAGACCCCAGTCAGAAAACACCTAATGGCTGGGGAAGGTGTAACATGGAGTCCTGCTTGTTTGTGTTTTCTGCCCTGCCCAGTCCCCCCAGCTGTTTAGTTCCAACGAAAAATTACACAGAAAACTTACACAGAAAACTCTATAAGTTATAAAGCTGATTGGCCCATTAGGTCAGGCTTCTTACTGGCTAACTCTCACATCCTGATTAACCCATTTTTCTGATCTATGTTAGCCATGTGGCTCAGTACCTTTTTCAGCGGGGCAGATCACATCCTGCTGCTTCGGTGATCTGGGCAGGAGAGGGAGGAATCAACTTCCTCCTCCTCAGAATTCTCCAGCTCTCCTTGCATCATTTCCACTTCCTGTCTGGTTTTCCCACCTATACCTTCTGCCTGGCCAATCAGCGTTTATTTAAAACATGATTGACAGAATACAGACAATTCTCCCACACCACTTCCCCCTCTTTTTTTAAAAAAAAAAAACAAAGGAAAATATCCATAGTCCATTTTTTGGGGATGTGGGCGTAGTATTCCAGGCTACTTCCAGCTGGTTGGGGCACTGATAATCTTATGGGGACCTAAAGAAAATTTAGAGTTATGATCAAGTCCTGACTGAAGTATCCTGTGAGTCTTGATCATCTCAGGCAGCAGTCTTGAACTTGTTCTGGATGAAGAACTCAGACATCTGGGCCATCTATTCCTGCCAGATATTTCTCAGGTGGTCTCCCTTGATCAAAGCTGATTTGTCTTAACTCTGAATAAATCCAGAGCCTTTCGTTTTCTGTGGAAACAAAAGCAAAATCTCTTCTCCAAAGTAACATACCTTTTGACTTCAATTTTGAAATTAAGGTATTTTCAAAATACCTGTCTTGGATTAATTCTGCAGCATTTATAAGCAAATATCTTTTAGCAGCTGTTGTTCATTCCTCAGCATTCAAACAATTTAAAGAGAGCATAATAGAATACAGTATCACGATTCTCAGTGTATTTTCCATCTTTATGTGGCTTTATTTTAACCTCTATTTCTTTTATTTTTACTTTTACTTTTTGAGACAGGTTCTCTGTATATCTTTGTCCTGGAATAACTCTTTAGACCAGGCTGTCCTTGAACTCACAGAGATCTGTCTGTCTCTGCCTCCCAGGCAAATTCTACCAGTCTGTGCCACCAGAACTGGCTACTCTCTTTCTTTCTTTTTTATTTTTATTTTTTTACTTTGAGAACTTTAACCTTTAGCCTGTATACATTTTAACACACTGTAAACCATTTAGAGGTTTTCTTACTCTTTGAATCTCTCTTTACTGTATATCTCTCTTTTTCTGACCACGTGGGTCTTTAATTTGCTAAGGAGTAAGGAGAAGAGAACACTCAAAAGCTCCTATGGCATTTCACGCCCTTGCCAGGAAAAGCTGCAACAATGTGTCCGTGACCACCTGCTTGAAAGAGTCAGAGTTTTCCCTGGCAGGATGGCTCAGAAAGCCAGCATTTTAAAACAGCGCAGCAGCTTTTTTCCTGCTGCAGCTGAAAACCGAAATGCTTTAGTCTAGTCTTTCCCAAGCTTTCTTGGGCTTTTTGTGGATGCAGTTATCCACGTGGGTGCCATTCTGGAACATGAGGGACTGGCTTGATGGGGTTTTCTCTCCCTCCCCCCATTCCCATAGCTGTTTAACCCCAAAAGAAAATCATACAGAGATCTCTATAAGTTAATAAAGCTGATTGGCCCATTAGGTCAGGCTTCTTATTAGTTCTTGTAGCTTATATTAACCCATTATTCTGATCAATGTTAGCCATGTGGTTCAGTACCTTTTTCCGTGGGGCAGATCACATCCTGCTGCTTCGGTGATCTGGGCAGGAGTGGGAGGAATCAACTTCCCAGAATTCTCCTGTTCTCACCGCATCATTTCTACTTCCTGTCTGGTTTTTCCACCTATACTTCCTGCCTGGCCAGTCAGTGTTTTTTAAAAACATGATTGACAGAATACAGACAATTCTCCCACACCAAAGAGGGATGCAAGAATCTCCATGGGAAGGGCAAACAGAAGTAGTTGGGAGTGGGAGGGATCAGACTGGAGCACAGGGGGAGAGTTTGTGGAGAGAGCTAGAATTTAATAGGCATTTGGAGGGTGGCAGTGTGGCCACCTAGTGCAGTGGAAACTTTTTGTAATTTACGAGGGTGATCCTAGTGAAGACTCCTAATAATGGAGTGTATGGAGTCTTAACTGGCCAAATTTTGTAGCTAAGCAAGACTTTCACTCTTGAGACTGGGTAGCATTTGGTTGAGTTGTTGACCAAGGGGTTCCAAAGGAGATCCCTAAGAAACCCAGGCTAATGCTAAGATAGGAGGTTACTTCCTGAAAACTGACAGTGGGATCCCATTGCTGTGGATGACATTCACACAGCTCAGTGAACTTAAAGAGGCTGAGCTGACACCTGCATGGAGCATTCACCCCAAGGTTCTAGTCTCTACTCTGCAGGCTGCATGGAAAGAGAAACCTGGATACCAATCAGTCACAAAATCCCCCACCTCCACCTGTACTTCCAGTAAGATGTGCTGGGGCAATGGTGGCACAAAACTTGTGTGAGCATCCAACCAATATTTGGTTTGTTTGTAGCCCAAGCCAAGAGAGGAAACCATGCAGGGCACTGCTTAAATAGCCAGAAAGCAGAGACTGGATAGCCTAGAGATCAAGGGTAGAAACAAACACAACTGGAAAAACAATCAACAATACAGTTTCTAATAATATTCTGCTTTGCTCACAGATGGTTGTCTTGTCAAGGTGTCATCGGAGAGGCTTCCTCCAGCGGCAGAAGAGAGCAGGTGCAGAGACCCACAGTCAGAAATTATGTAAAAGGAGGGTCTGAGTTCTAGTTCTCCTTCAGGTCCTTCCTTGGAGATGGGGAAACCTCCCTGAAGGAGGAATAAAGATTACAGGAGTCAGGGAAGCGAAAACACCAGAGGAGCATGGCCAAAAAAACCAACTAAGCAGGCACTCTTGTGGGCTCAGAGACTGAAGAGGCAAGCACGGGGCATGCAGCAGTCCGCACCAGGTCCTCTGCTTAAATTATGGCTGTTAGCTTGACGTTTTTGTGAAATTCCTAACAGATGGAGCAGGTGTCTTTCGGACTTTGGCGTGTTCTTGGGACTCTTTTTCTACTTTTAGATGTCTCGTGTAGCCTCAATATGAAGGCTTCTGCCTTGTCTTGCTGCACACTGTTTTATCCTGTTTGTTTGTCTTCTCTTGGAATCTTGTTCTTTTCTGAAAAGGAAACTGAGTAGGAGAGGATTTGGGGTAAAAGGGAGGCTTTGGGGAGTTGGAAGAGGTTGAGGGAGGGGAAGCTGTGGTCAGGAGCTACTGTATGAAAGAGTAATCTATTTTCAGTTAAAAAAATAACTAAACAAATAACTAAGAAACTTGACATACACATTAGCATCACTAACTTGATCCTTATTTGGACAGATGCA